GAATTTGAGCACCTCAGTGAGATTCGATTTATTTTTGGTTGGCTTAAGTGCTAATTCAGTTCAACTGCTTTTATGGCAGGGATGTAGATGAAGGATACGAAGGATTCTTTAGTTTTCTGACAGCTGCCTAGGAACAGGTATATATGGCATTGACTCTGTATTTTCCTTAAGTGACATATATACATTCATTGGAAAAAATAGCATGTATCTCTCTCTCTCTCTCTCTCTCTCTCTCTCTCTCTCTATATATATATATATATATATATATATATATATATATATATATATATATATATATATAGATATAGATATAGGGTAAGGCTATTCTGTAGCTGGCCATAGAATAAATTATTCTGTAGCCACCTCCATTTACGATAATTTTATATACTAATTTACCATAAAGTGAATATATATTTACGATAGTTGTGTTACTATAACACATGAGGATATTTACCATAACGTTATAGTAAATCACTTAGTAAGGAGTTACTGTAATCTCGTAAATTAGCATAGTAATTATCGTAACTCAAAGTGGCCACAGAATAAATTATTCTATGGCCAGCTGCAGAATAGTAGTTCTTACAAGAGCGCTCTATATTTTAACAAGAGCGCTCTATATGTGTGTGTGTGTGTGTTCTTACAAGAGCGCTCTATATTTTGACAAAGGACAAGTACATAATATTTTGGAATGCCCAGATGATTGAAGGACGAAGAACAACATTTCAGATGATTGAAGGATGAAGAACAATGTTTTTCTCTAGAGACCAATTTGTTTACATATAGTGTGTGTTTTGTTTTCAGTGAACTTTGTAATTAGTCAACCATTGTATATACAATAACATTTTATGCTATTCTCTTCTATGTACAGAATCATTTGTCTAATAAAAATATTCAATATTATCTGGTTTTGTCTAGAGATCTGTAGTTATTAGCTGTGGTTGATTGTTATAGAGTATATTTAATTGGCCAAGCTATTTGGCGGAAAAGAGTTACTATTTTGCAGCATTCATACAATTATAATAGCAAATCCTGAAAGCATATGGCATATTTTCACAGCAACACATATGTGTTGGTGAAACATGGACACATCCGTTGTTAGCTTGCAACACTTATATACATCATTTACCAACGCATATATATGCGTTGCAATAGAACCTTGCAACGCCACTTTTACCAACGCATATAACATGTGTTGGTATAGACCATAACAACACTTATTTGAGTTTTTAGCAATACATATATGCGTTGCTACAGGGGTGTTCCTCTTGTAGTGAAGCGATCAGGGCCGATGTGAACAAGGCCGTGATCAGACTAGTGCCGGGGTTATTTTTAACTCTTATTTTGGAAGCAAATGTTTATAAACCCATGATCAGACAAGCCCATGTCTGAATTGATCTATAATCTCACTACTGAGAAACACCCTATTTCGCATGTAGAATAACATGCCACCAAGCTAGGTTGCAGACTGCTTGGTTGGAAGGAAGGAGAGGCGTCGACCATGTGCTTGTGGGCACAGCACTCGCAGCTCCGGCGGATCTTTTTGACCTCGTAACAGAAAAGGAGAGTGGGGTGAGCCAAGGAAGCATCTCTTACAAGTCGAGATGCGAGCAAACTACAGTTGCTTTCACTTCACTCCAAAGCTTTGCTTGCTTATTGTTCTCTCTGCTGGCAGCTGGTCTCCTGCTGCTGATCTACCAATCCTGATCTGCAGCCAAGCCACCGCTCGGCTCCACCAGCCATAGGCTGTCACTCCTTGCAATACTATGTTGCAAGCATTCGCCCTATGATTATGGTGATAACACTGACAGGAAACCTATGCGGCCTGTTAGATTGATCTCTATCAATTGGCCACGGTCAATTGGGTCCTCGGATCCACGTCCTGATCGGGGGCGCCCAACCGCTCCATGATTGGTGGGCCTCCGTCGCACAGCGCCACAAAAAGAGAGGTGGGGGCCGAGACACAAGGCACGAGGTTCACCTGAGCCGTCAGACACCCCACCTACATCCTAACCCTAGCCGATCTAGAGGGGGGACGCTGCCAGCGACGGGAAACTCCGCCACCGGCCACCACAGCCTCTGCACTGCCGGCACCGCGACAGCGCCTTCACCGCCGGGCTTCACCGCGCCACCGACGAGCAACCCCATGGCCAGCTCATCTTCTACGAAAGCGGCCGATGATGGTTTGCACCTCCGCAACCCCTATCTTTCTCTCACTCTATCTGTAAATCCCGTACTAGTTCATGTTCTATAACTCGTTATTTATCCTAAATGTTAGTTATACCTACTAGATCTACTGCTAAATGATCCTGATGATCCTGTCATGTCTATCACGGCCAACACTGGGACATGCTGAGATCACTTTTGCCTGTTTATCGGGCGATCACCAGTGTGGTTATAGGTGATGGTGCCTCTACTTCATTCTGGCATGATGTGTGGAACGGTGACGACCCACTGGCTGACACCTTCCCGGAACTATATAGCCATTGTCAAATGAAGGAAATGACAGTCCAGCAAGCACTAGAAGGAGCTATCCATGGCAGTCTGGTGCCTAGACGGTCGCAAGCTGCGACGCAGCAGCTGTCACAGGTATCTGAACTTCTACAACAGCAGCAATTCAGCACATCCAAGGATTGCCGGCAAAGTCCACTTTGCAAGCGCAATGGTGACCTCGACGATACTTCCATGCTATACAAGACGCTGAAGACAGCTAACTCCAGTCAGGATCCTTGGGCAAATTTTGTATGGAAGAACAAGGCACCACAAAGAGTGAGGTTCTTTGCATGGCTACTGTCGCAAGGAAGAATTCAGTGCAAGACAAATTTGATTAAGAAGAGAATTGTAGACAACACAGTATGCGATGTCTGTCACGCAGCGGAGGAGACGCCCGTCCACATCATCTTTGGATGCACTGCTGCACACCAATTCTGGGATGCCGATCAAATACAGACACAAGCTGATTGTACCAGAACAGACCTTTTATCCAATGCTAAAATGGACTCTAGTCCCGGCATTTTTTGCACCCGGGACTAGAGAGACCTTTAGTCCCGGTTTGTGTCTCCAACCGGGACTAAAGGTCCCTGCCCAACGGCTACTGCGCTCGTCACAGTGGCAGAGGACCTTTAGTCCCGGTTGGAGACATCAACCGGGACTAAAGGTGGACCTTTACTCCTGGTTGGAGCCACCAACCGGGACTAAAAGTCATTCACCTTTAGTCTCAGTTGGTAATACCAATCGGGACTAAAGGTAGACTCTTTAGTCCCGGTTGGTAACACCAACCGGGACTAAAGGTCCCCCGATGGGTTAGTTCAAAAGGGAAGCATCCCATCCATTGTTAGATGTGTTGTGTAGGTGGGGTGGTAAGCTACGCGCGAGGCAATGCATAAGTTCTTTGGTTCGAATCTCACGGGACGCAGCGGTAGGATGCATTATTATTTTTTTAAAGCTAGGAGGACCTTTAGTCCCGGTTGGTGTTACCCACCGGGACTACCTTTAGTCCTAGATACTTGCTCCCGGGTGGGGAATCGGGACTAAAGGGGATTTCCCACCGGAAGTAAAGCTCTGTTCTCTACCAGTTGGCCAATCCACAAACTGCAGGAGATTGTGAGGCCAGGACATATACCGAGCAAGCACTTCGGGACTTTCTTGATGCTTCGCTGTTGGCATATTTGGAAAAGGAGGAACAATACGGTTTTCAGGGAGGATCGGACAACACTAACTGCGACTCTGTCATCTTGTAAATCAGAGGTCGCTCTGTGGAAAGCTCGACTACCAAAGAAGGACAAGGAGGTAGCAGATGCATGGTGCTCTATTTTAGCTACGGCAATGTGAATGTAATCTAAGCATGTAGCAAACATTGTATTTCAAATATGGCTATAAGAGCCACAATCAATACAGCCCAGGTTGGGAGCCTCCCCCACCCAACACACACACACACACACACACCCACACCCCCCCACCCCCATATATATATATATATATATATATATATATATATATATATATATATATATATATATATATATATATATATATATATATATATATATATATATATATATATATACTAGCTAGCATAGAATAATTTATTCTGTTGTCACTTTGAGTTACGATAATTACCATGTTAATTTACAAGATTACAGTAACTCTTTACTAAGTGTTTTACTATAACATTATCATAAATATCACCATGAGTTGTAGTAACATGAGTATCGCAAATATGTATTCATATTATCATAAATTAGTACAAATATTATCGTAAATCAATGTGGCTATAGAATAAATTATTCTATGGCCAGCTGCAGAATAGCCTTACACTATCTATCTATCTATCTATTTATCTATAGGAGAGAGAGAGGGGGGTTTTGATAATCTTCATTAAATGCGATTATACTCATGGTCCAAGCTCGCCCTATGATAATGATAATCAACAGTTGTTCAGGAGTACCATCCTGTTCCTGTACAGTGCGAAGCAAGGAAAGGCGTTGCATTAACTGACAACATCCAAACGCGCCTTTCCTTCTTGCCTGGCGAAGTGCAATGCAGTACAACATATGAATGCCGAGGTGCTCACCTTAACATTAACACAAGTACAGTGTGCAGAAGAACTTGATTGCTCCAGGATCCTAGGCTTTAGGCTCCCCTAACAGTTCAATTCTAACAGCAAAATGGAGATCAGAGGCTTGATATGTACACAACAGTGTCCTAAGAGGCTATGATGCATACCACACCAGAAATTCCGGGGCCTAGATTTCACACCCTACAGCTACCTAAATGCAGATGGATAAACACAAGATATCTGAATCTCACATCACCCTAATTAAGTGCAGAGACCTAAAACACCAGGCCCTAAGCTAGAAATATCCAAACATCCGAATTTCACCAAGAGAAGGAAACATAGGAATGATAGAAACCAAGCTTGACACAGCTCTCACATGCTGATGGGATCAGTAGTCGGCGAAGACTGCGAGCTCGGTTGCTGCTGCTGCTCTTTGGTGGCTTCGTCATGCCGGCGCTTCGACAGATCCATCTGCTGCTGGAGGATCAGATGGTGCGGCGGAACCATCATCACCGCTGGGAGGTTCGTCTCCTTGCCTTGCAGCTGGCTTCGGAAGCTCGCTGAGCATCTGCACCACCTCCCGCATCGTAGGCCGCTGCACGCTCTGCTCCTCGACGCAGAGTAGCGCGATGTAGAAGACGTGCATCACCTCGTGCACTGGCACGATTGACAGCCTGGGGTCCATGATCTTGATCACCTGCTCCTTGTTTGCATCCGTCGTCGTCTTGACCCACTGGACAATGTCGATGCCGTCCCCAAACTCCCCTACTGGCTTCTTTCCGGTGACCAGCTCAAGAAGAACGACACCAAAGCTGTAGACATCGCTCTTCTCATCGACCTTGAGGGTATATGCATACTCTGTAGATCCACAGGATAGCAATCCAATAAAGGATTGGTTGATTTCAGGAATTCTCTACTCATGTAGATATAAAAAAAAATCTATATTTCTAATATATCAGAACAAGGAAACAAACTTTAGCTATATAGCAGTAAGTAACCAGATCCATAAAGGAATACCATGTTTCATTAGCTAAACTGAAGAATAAACTAAAAGGGGCTAAGTAGTAACAGGTGGCAACACATTTAATCTGTAGACAACAAGAAAGACTTAAAATAGACAATTGTGAAGCAGTACTATGGTGTCAATAATTCTGCAAAACAAATGCAAACTGTAATAAGAATTAAAATTTTACCTGGAGCAATATAGCCATAGGAACCGGCAATGGCAGACATACACTGTGATGCGCCAGAGTCCTGCAAGAACTTGGCGAGCCCAAAATCAGCAACGTGTGCTTGAAAATCGGAATCAAGCAGAATGTTGTTTGATTTAACATCACGATGCAGGATCGGCGGCGAGCAATCATGGTGCAGGTAGCTGAGCCCCTTGGCAGCCTCAACAGCGATCTTGTATCGAGTGTCCCAGTGGAGATGGCCACCTTTCTTGCCATGGAGTAGTTCCCCCAGGCTCCCATTGGGCATAAACTCGTACACCAGGAGATTTGTCTCATTGTTCGAGCAGAAGCCAAGCAATCTCACAATGTAGCGGTGCCGGATCCTCCCAAGAGTCTGAATCTCAGCAGAGAACCCATGGTCATGCAACGAGCCACGGCTCATCGGACGAAAGCCGCTTCACTGCAACATGCTCACCATCTGGCATTGTCCCCTTGTACACAATCCCAGCTCCACCTTTGCCGATGATGTTCTCCTCCTTCAGACTATCTAGCACATCGTCACAGGTGAATTCAAGGCGCTGGAACGCAGTGAGTCTCCACGCCGCGCGCCTCGCTGGCCTTCTTCAGTGACCGGGCCTTCCAGATTGCCATGGCAGCAAACGCAATGGAGCAGACAAGCAAGCCGAGGACGATGAGCAACTTGAAGGTATTGGACATGCCACCATGGGTGTGTGCACCATGGCCTGTGCCGGCGCCACCAGAATGGCATGGTCAAGGTACGGCCCACACAGCCCCGGGTTGCCGACGAACGACGTCGCATTGAAGTAGCTGAACTGCCCAGTTGCGGCACGAGGCCAGACAGGTTGTTGTATGAGAAGTCGACGGCCGTGAGGCTCTGCATTGCAGCAATGGTTGCCGGTATCTCTCCATCAAGGTGGTTCCGGGACAGGTTCAGGTAGTTGAGTATTCGCATGCCAGAGATGGCCGGCGGTATCTCCCCGGACAGGTTGTTCCGGCTGAGGTCCAGGTAGGTGAGCAACCGGCATTTCCCAACCTCCGGCGGCACACCGCCGTCAAGCACATTGCCGCTCAGGTCAGCCTTAGACAACTGCTGCAGCCGGCCAATCTCTGGCGGTACTGCGCCGGAGAATGCATTCTGGTCAAGAAGCAATTTTTGCAAACCTGAGAAATTCCCAATGGACGCCGGCAGCGCGCCGGTGAGCTGGTTATTGGAGAGAGTGATGGCCCCCAGATTCGGCGCGCCGGTGCCGGTCACCGCCGGGAAGCCGCCGGACAGGAGGTTGTCCTGCAGCTCAACCTGCGTCAGATTCGGCAGTTCAAAGAGACCCTCCGGGATGGAGCCGTTGAGGTAGTTCTCGCCGAGGCGGATGCGGGAGAGTGCCTCGCATTTCCCCAGTGATTCCGGGATTGAGCCGAAGAGGAAGTTGCCGAGCGCGATGAGCGTCTCCAGCTTGCCCCCGGCGCAGAGCTCCGGCGGGAGGGTGCCGGTGAGCCTGTTGGACGAGAGGTCGACCAGCTGGAGCAGTCCGTTGCGGCCGAGACGGCGCGGGATGCCGCCGGTGAAGTTGTTCTCCCAGAGCTGCAGCACCTCGAGGCTTGGCAGGTCGCCGACGAGCTCGGGGATGCTGCCCCTGAGCTTGTTGCGGAAGAGGTTGAGCAAAGTGAGGTTCTTGAGCGCGGCGAAGCTCGCTGGAATCTCGCCGGTGAGCGCGTTGTTGGACAGGTCCAGCGAGCTGAGGCTCCTGAGCCGACCCAGCTCCGGCGGAATGGCGCCGGCGAGCCCGTTCACCTGCAGGAAGAGCGTGTCGAGGTTGGCAAGATTCCCGAGCTCCGGCGGAATCTCGCCGGAGAGCCCGCAGTTGGCGGCGTCGAGGCGGACGAGATCCGTCATGTTGCCGAGCTCCGGCGGAATCCCGCCAGAGTAGCTGTTGTAGTAGCCAATGTAGAGCTCCCTGAGGCTGGTGAGGCCGCCGAGCTCCGGAGGATCTTCCCCGACAGCTCGTTCCCGGAGACGGCGAGTACTGCAGCCTCCGCCACCGGCCGTACTCGGGCGGGATCTCGCCGGAGAAGAAGTTGCCGCCGAGGTGGAGGTGGCGGAGCATCGGCAACGCGACGACCTCGAGCGGGAGCGGGCCGGTGAGGTTGTTGTTGTAGAGGTCGAGCACCCGGAGCGCGCACAGGCGCTCGAGCGGCGGCGGGAAGGTGCCGTTGAGCACGTTGTTGGAGAGGTTGAGGTGGGTGAGGGACTGCAGCCTGGACAGCGGCGCCGGGATGGGGCCCGAGAGCGCGTTCGCGGCGAGGTCGAGGCGCGCGAGGTGCGCGAGGTGGGACAGCGCGGCGGGGACCGGGCCCGAGAGGTTCCGGCCGGAGAGGTCCAGCCCGATGACCGCGGCGCGCGCGTTGCACGTCACGCCGGACCACGCGCAGGGGCCGGTGGCGTTCGTCCAGGACGCCAGCGCGCCGGCCAGGTCCGACAGCGCCGCCTTCGCCGCCAGCAGCGCGTCCGCGTCGGCCGTGGCCGCGACACCGGCAGCCCCCGCCACCGCGGCGGCGGCGGCGAGGAGGAGGAGGTGGTGGAGGTGGAGGCGCATTGGCATTGGCATTGGATTCGTTTCGAGGCTCCGTCTCCGCCGGGAGAGTGGAGACAAGGGAGTGAGGCCGCGCGGCCCGCGAGAAAAGGAGAGAGCTTCACGATAGGCTCGGCTGGTCGTTTTTGGTTAGTAACTAAAATTTTGTAAGATTTCTCGTTACATTAAATCTTTGACGCATGTATAAAATATTAAATATAAATAAAAAATAAAACTAATTATATAGTTTAGACGAAATTTATAAGACGAATCTTTTAAACCTAATTAGACTATAATTAGACATTAATTACTAAATAATAATAAAAATGCTACGGTATCATTTCTTAAAATATTTCGAAAACAGCACACTGCACACACTGACACACCTACTCAGTAGGCCGCTAGTGCGGCTATAAAAAAGCATGTGATTCCTTATTGGATTTTCTGGAGGGAAAGAAGTGTTCTTTTGAGAAACTTGTATTTTCTTTCTTTTTTTAACAAAAAAAACTTGTTCTTTTGTTTGGTGATTTGGTTAGTTTTTGTATGGCTTTCTTTACATTATTGGGATGGTGTATTGTTAGTTGATTTGGATTTTGTTTATGAAAAGTTGCTTTCTGGGTTGATACAGTACGTGTTTACAACCAGGATCCGGGATCCAGGTGCTGTTTGATTGATGTCATAATGGCCCTGTTCATTTCTCTTCTATTCCATCTTTTTCAGCTTGTTTTTTTAGTCGGAACAGTATTTTTCTCTCGCAACAAATCAACCGGAACAGTGTTTCGACTTGTTTTTCAGCGAAGCGAACGGGGCCAATGTGTTTCAGCAATACTATTGTTTGTTAGCAAGTTTTCGAAGGATGAAACAAAAGTTTGTTAATAGCTTCAACAAATTAAGAGATGGTTAAAAAGCTTGTAGAGAGGGTTTTATTTCGGCTCCAATTAACTTTGCTGAATGTTTGAGACAAAAGAAGAACAGCTTGTTTCCTTCTTCGTTTCGCTGTCCCAACCTTAAGTTCAAGGACGCTCGCAATGGATATGATTCGTAAGGTAGCTCTAAATATTTTTTATATTTTAATAGAAGAGTGAGAAAAACTAGTTTTTATCAAGAGCTAGACTCATACACACATTTCAAGATCATGTGAGAGCGTTATAAGAGACTATCCATATTATGAGCTATATACGCAAAGAAACAATGTTTTTCTCTCACAATAATTAGTATTAGCATTAGTATTAGCAGCAGCCAAATTTCAACGAAACGAACAAGGCCAGCGTTATTGAGGAAGTTGGCTTAGAGCCTTAGAGCTGGTAACTAGCTCATACCATTGTGGGTGACTGAATGGGTAACCAAAGGTAGTATTGTGTTTTTGCACAGCTTGCTCGTCAGATTCTTTAAATTAGAAATAGAATCAAAAGAAATTAGGTTTTAAATGTTATTAGTACAAAAAAACAAAAAATGGTTCCAAGTAATTTCCTTCGGAACCGTTTGACAGCGATCAAGTCTCTCGGTAGTCTATTGTGATTGGTTTTCAATATGCAGACGGATGTTGCCATTTGTCAAAATATATATACACCCGGAAGTGGCTCAGACACCCAAACTCTTTTATAACTATTTGGAGCACAAGGCAAATATGGTGGGCGGATGCAGAATGAGTGAGTGATTAGTTATGCGTGCGATTAGTGAATATACGGATTAATATTTCTCAGGATCTTTTGCAGGCTGGCGAGACCAACAGTTCAGTCGGTCGCGTGAGTATGCTTGTGTCAGTCCTACTCGGTACTCACCGTATGCATTACTAGCTCGCTTCAGAACCAGGCTAACCCGGTCATCTCCCTCGCTATCCCCAGCCACGTACACACATGACTCAGGCTCTATCGTCTCCCCAGGTAGTTCCACCTGAAGGGAACACTTCTCTGCGCCACAGGGTTCTCCACAAACGCCGCTACCAGGGTTAACACGAGAACAACACATGCAGAGGTTTCTCCTCTAGGGTCCCTAGCATAGAGATATTGCCCCATATGAACGAGTTTTAAGGAAGGCAGGGATTAAAACAGAGAAGCTTAGTTCATTTCCACATAGCAAGTTTACATACGACTTTCTCTTTTAAAAGGATCTAGGATGCCGCCTAGAGGAAGGGTGAATAGGCGTTTCTAAAAATTAACACATTTAAATGCGGAAACAATTAGAAAAGAAAGTTTCCAAAATGGAAAGTCCATATTAAGAGTAATACTACCCCTCACAAGTTAGCCACAGAGTAAACAAGGTATAAAGAATATATTTTTAGCACAAGTAGAAAATACCGGACGTGTCCGGTATACACGGTTTCTGTAGAGCAGCCACAAACTTGCTCCTTTCGATTTCTATCTTCAAGCCAAACTGCGGGTACCTACTAGAGATGACAATATACATAGAGAACCTACACAAGAGCTTGAGCAACACAAATATCAAATGAAATACGAATTAAGCCACGATATTTGTTTTACCGAAGTTCAGACTCGTTCGAGTCCTACTATCCGTTGAGGGGGCTGCGGGCGACCCAGCGAAGGTCAGCCCTAGAGGGTACCACGAAGGTCACTCTAGCTAGAGTCTTTTCCAACTCCTTTTCCTCCTTCCACTGGTTGATTCCGAGGCGGCGGAATCGACCGTTACAAACTTTCTGAGGCACACCACAATCTCTTGGGTGCTCTCCGACGACACCTAACCGTCTAGAACCGAAGAGTCCAAGAGTAACAAATGCAAATCACGAAATAGACAATAAGTACAAGTGCTCAAGTGGTGGCTTTCTCTCTTTTTCAAATTCTCTCTTAACCCATAAATGGATTTTGCGATTTGGATCACACACTCACTAAGAAAGGGTTTGAGAGAGTTGGCAAGGCTAAAAAACGTGTATGTGTATCAGCAGAATCAGCAGCCTCCAAAGGTGGAGGCTTGGGGGTATTTATAGCCTCCTTGGAAAAACTAGCTATTTTATAGCCGTTTATGACTTACACTGCGTCAACGATAACTGAGTTACAGTAACGTTGTGAGGCGTCGGAACTCCCGATGAATGCCGGAACTCCCGACTGTCGGAACCCCCGACCTTCAGCACATTTAAAAACTACGGTTAAGTTGATCTCTTTAGAATTGATGTCGTCTCTTTTAATCTTCATCAAGTGAGGTTGCCAACATGTTGATATACACTTGAGCATAGCCATCTTGAGCACGTGACTTGATTCCATTCATCAAATATGAATAACTCCAAATGCATCAAGTCACTTACAACACTTTGTCCAATATAGATTTGATCCTCCACATCAATATGACCATCGTAACTTGATTAGTAGCTCAACTAAATGCAAGTACTCTCTTCTTCACCCTAGCTAGGTTCTTCGGCCGTCAAGCCGTCGCTTGCCCTTCACCCTTGCTTAGTACCTCGAAGCCTTTCCTTGCTATCTTCACCATCTCAAGCCATCAAGTCACATCTTGTGTTGAATCATCCATTCATTTCAATTTAGCAAGCTTCAAATATGAGACCATTCCATATACAATCCCTCATATCTCATTAATTAATTCTTACGAGCTTTCTTTCACATAGTACATGGAAATCCCACAATAAACGAGTCTTTGCATGAATTCCATTTGCATTGTTGTCTTGTGCTTGAACTAGATTGTTTATACAACAACACATCATTTTGGCTTTCATTAAGTACCTGTGAGATAACCTATTACCTGTCCACACTTAGCAAACGGGTTCGACCTTTAATCACATTGTCATTCAATCATCCAAAACCCACTAAAGGGCTAGATGCACTTTCAATCTCCCCATTTTTGGTGATTGATGACAACTTGATTAAAGCTTACAAAAGAATATAAACATTTAAGCTTTTAGGTTCAATGATTTATGAGATGCTCCCCCTTAATATGTGCTTATGATTAGAATTTACAAAATGACCTCAAATGTCAATTGCACATACTAAAATATATAGGAGACTCCCCCTAAATTATTGCATCTATGGAGTGCATGTGTGTGTGACAAAGTAAAACCGTGATGCATATGACAAGATATATCATACAAGAATAAATATAAAGGCATCACATCAAATATTTTTATTCTAGCATGCATAGTCCTTATGAAAATAAATATAACACATGTATGTCACACATAGCACTCATTACACATTTTCTCATGTCCACAAGCCACTAATATATAAATAAAGATCATGTCTTAAGAGATATATAGATAAAGCATAAGTTAGTCTCATCTCTCACATGATACAATCTATCTCAAACTCAAGAAACATTAATGAAGCTTAAAAAACTACAGCCTACAGTACATATCTTCAGGTACAAAGATGAGCAAATGAAACAAATCATGAAGCTTTAATCAGTCTCTCTCTCCCTTTGTCATCTATCACCACAAAGATCCAACAATGACATACTAAGGACAAAGGGGCTGCAAGTTGTTTCTAAAAGTTGTGATCACTCATCATCATCTTCATCTCCACTAACATCCTCATCATCTGAGCGTGGAGCACCAACTGGACGAGAACCACCTCCACCAGACGGGTCATAGCCACCAGACCCGTAGTAGCCAAAACCACCCGTGAGGTCACCCCACCAATCTGAAGCATACTCGTCTGCAGCACTGGGACGTGGCTAAGAGTGAGTAGGCACCCGTGCCTGTAGTGGTAAAGTGTCAGGGTGCTCTGGTGCCTGCTGCTGCTGCTGCTGTCGCTGAAGAAACTCAGCAAACTCTCTATTGTACCTGACCTACTGCTGCTCCTCTGTCTCTGGCTCACTGGCTGCCTCATCTAGCAATGGAGACCTAGGAGGATCAAGCTCAAGTCTAGCAGCAATCTGCTTCAGAGTCTGAGTATCCTTCCTCCTAGCCTTCTTCTCCTTCTGTTGGCAGGTCTGGATGTCCTTGCACATCCCAAAGATAGCACTGAACATCTTACGAATAGGAGAAGTAGGACTACGGCGACATAAAGAAGAACGTGAAGGAGCATGTGGTAGAGGGGAAGCTCCTCTAGCTGCTACACCACCTGTAGGTG